GTCACATGATTAAGATACACTATTAAGGATTGCGTATTTATTTGCACTAGAGCTGCGTTTCCCAATTGGTGTTCCGCGAGAACAAAATTGAGGTTCCGCGGCATTTTGCCACATCCAAGATGGCCGCCGCTACCTGCTGTTCCCGGAAGGTCAGGAACAGCAGAGACCGCCGTCAGCCAGCCTTGCCGTCAATACCCCTTTCTGTCAGCACGCCTTGCCGTCAGAGCCCGCCCTAGCGCCCTCCCTGTCACTTGCCCTGCCATCAGCCAGCCACCTAAGCTTAGCTCATCCATGAGAGAGTCTGCCCAGCCCTCAGCCAGCCCGCCCAGCAGCCAGCCCGCCCTGCCGTCAGCCATTTTCTATCACTCATGGTAGAGGAGTGATAGAGAGTGGAGCTGAGAGTTAAAGCTCTGTTATTGTCATAGATAGAAAGCTCTGTTAGGTATGGACATAGAAAGCTCTGTTAGGTAGGGAAATAGAAAGCTCTGTTAGATATGGACATTGAAATTCTATGTTAGGGGCATTGAAAGTCACTGTAGAGGACATTAAGGCTCTGTTGGGGCATTGAAAGACTCTTTGAGGGGCATTGAAATTCTCTGCTAAGGACATTGAAAGGCTTTGTAAGGGACATTAAAAGGCTCTGTCAGGGGCATTGAAAGACTGTCAGAAACATTGAAATTATCTGCTAGGGACATTAAAAGGCTCTGTCAAGGGCATTGAAAGACTCTGTCAGGGACACTGAATGACATTGGGAGGGGCAAAAAACTGTTAACTGTAATTTTCAAAGTGTTCAAATCTTTTTGCTCCAATTATAACTCAAAAATCCTGCATAAGTTCAGCTCTTTCTAAGAGCGTTATCAAAATCAGCATCTTTTTTAGTCAGGTTGTGAGATCTGTATTTTTTAAGTGTTTTCTTTTTCACCAATAAACAACAATGAATTTGGAAAGCTCTTCAGAGAAAAATGATAACTACTTCTACCAGTTCGGCACTTATAGAAACAGAGAAAGAAGATACAACTAAAACTCCAGAAAACATGCCTGAAATAGATGTATCTACTGTTCCTCAAATAGCAGAGACAAGTGAACAAGTGCAAAAATAAAAGAAAAACACACAATTTTAGACATGCGCACTTAGTTTTGGTCCGAATGTTAATTCGGACGGACTTCGGCATTGTTGAATTGCAGAAATTCCGAAGTGCCGAAGTCACGAATTGCCAAAGAGTTGAATTTCGGAAGTGCTGAACCAAATTGCCGAAGTGCTGAATTTCGGAAGTGCCGAAGTGCTTCGGATTTCTGAAAAGTGGCAAAACCGGAGAGAGAGGGAAAATTAATGGCAAAGGGAATGATGACAGGAATCTAACCCTTACCCTACCTGTACCCTTAACCCTACCCATGCCCCTACCCCTAACTCTACCCCTAACCCTCCCCCTAAACCTACCGCTTACCTAACCCCTAACCCCAACCCTACTCTAACCCCTAACCTAACCCCTAGTAGGGTTAGGGTTAGGGTTTGGGTTATGGGTCCACCGATGTTGCAGGACTTTTAATATTGTTGGTTTTTTATATAATTTTGACAAACAGATTGAAGAAGACTTGCTTCTGTGTGAAACTTTGAAAACACATACCACTGGTGAGAACATATTTAACTGTATCCAGATGTTCAAGAACACACACTGTATAAATTGGGACAAATGTGTAGATGTGTGCAGTGATGGTGCCGAAGCAATGGTTGGGAAAGTGGCAGATGCTGTGACACGAATAAGAAATGTAGCAAAAAACAGCACCAATTCTCGCTGTGTTCTTCACAGACTTACACTGGTAGCTAAAAATATTTCAATCTCACTTAAAACTGTGCTAGATGAATTGGTCCAGTTTCTTAATTTTATAAAAAGTCGACCGTTACAGTCACGACTATTTAAAATTATATGTGAAGATATAGGTAGTCACCACTCTGCTCTGCTTTTGCATTCAGATGTCCGTTGGTCATCACGAGGTAAAGTTCTTGTTAGAATGTTTGAATTGCGTCAAGAGTTGTTTGCATATTCCAGTATCATAAATTTAGATTATCTGATCGATTAACAAACATTCCGTGGTTATCCAAAGTAGTATATCTTGCAGACATATTCGCAAAATTAAATGACATGTGTTTATCACTCCAAAGAAAAAACACTAATATTTTTAATGCAAGAGATAAAATATTTTCATTGTCTCGTAAGCTGCAGTTTTGGGCCTCATCTGTTGAGCAAAATAATTTGAACTCTTTGCCAACACTTAAGGATTTTCTTGAAGAATCAGAAATTGAACTTGAAGATGAAATTCACAATGAAATTGCAGATCATCTTTGCCATTTAATCACATCGATTAATCAGTATTTTCCATTCTTGAATGAAAACAATAATGACTGGGTTCGAAATCCATTCATAAAAGACAAGCCAGACAATTTTTCTGTTGTAGATTTTGAAAATCTGATCTATTTAACTCCTGACAGTCAACTAAGCCAAAAATTTAAAGAAGTTTCAATTATTGCTTTTTGTGGTGATTCTCGCTTTACTCTGCAAGAAAAGAAAAGTATGGAAATCAAATTGACGCAACTGCAGACATGCAAATACAACTGTCAACAATTAAACCAGATATAAAAATATTTTGCCAGCAAAAGAGAACATTACACTCTGCTCACTGTGCTACTCTACGGCACACATTTTCTTGTTGGGGTTCCAAAGTTTTGCTATACCATGTCAAAGGGTTCCAAGGGAAAATTTAATTGGGAAACCCTGCACTAGACTATTAACTGAATGGTAGTTGGTACACTTAATTTTTTCTTAGATTGGGGTATAAGTTGTGTTTTGGATTTTTATATGGCAGCACTATTATAATGTCGAGGTAGGTATTCTTAGGATTGCAATTGGTAGCAATGTAGTAGGATTTTGTATTCTTAAGTAGGAAATTGTGGTATCAAGTATTACTGTAAAGCTTCACTGGAAATACATATTTTTTAAAATAGTATTTTAAATTACTGATGCATATATGTTCAGAGACCAACTATGTTTCAATGCCCTTGTTTGTACACGGTACAATGACAATGAAGTTAAATCTGAATCTAAAGCCCCTGCTCGCGGTTCTCATTCACCCAGACTAGGTGGGATTAAATTCCAATTGTTAGCCAATAATATTTTTTTTAATGGACAAGGTCACAGCCAAGGTTCTCAATTTAGTTTCCTCTTTTCATAAAACATGAATTCCAAGGCTTGAATATACCCACGTCCTTTAGGAATGAGTCTTGAGATGACCTCTTTATTTCCCCTCTTCACAGTAGATGTTTCCACTTTTACCCTTCCCTTTATGCTTTTTTCCCCCTTTTCTTCTTCATGGTTCTTTTTCTTTCCCCTCTTCTCTTTTTTTTTACATTCTTTATTTTGTTTTGGGCAGTAGGTTATACAGTACATATGCATGCAGACAAATGAAATGACAATGTTTAATACACCAACAATCTATATTGCTTCGATTCATCGTGTTATATCTGGTTTATGAACTTAAATATTATAACACATTGGTAAGTATAGTTTCTTTACAAATAACATAATATAGGTATGTCAGGGTACCTGTTGGTGATGTATCCAGGGAGGACATCCTCTCTGCTTAGGGGCTCCCTTCCCCTAGCATTTCGGCATATTTCGGCCGTTTTCGCGCCGGCCGCGCTAGCTCCTCCCCCTTTTATGACGTGACGGCTAGCGTCGACGTCATGACGTCGGCATTTGCATAAAGTGCCGGGAACCGCTATTCCGGACCTTTTGGGGGCGTGGTCTCTATTTAGGTACAGGGTATTTAAAGGAAACCTTTACTACTGCTCATTGCCCTGTCGTGGTTCTAGCTTGCTAGTCACTCAGCGCGTTCTTTATCTAGTGTTTCTGGTTTTGACCCTTGCTTGTCTTTTGTCCTGTTGTCCTCTCCTCTCCTTTGACTCGGCTTGTATCTCGCTTACCTGTCCTCCGGCTCCCTTGACCTCGGCTTACCTTTTGACTATTCTTGCTTTGTCCTTACGTTAGTCCGGCCATTCTAAGGTCCGGTATACGTACCTCCTTCTGTGCGCACTCTGCGTATTGGATCCCTGTCAGTTTCCTGACAGGCACGCCATAATGCCACTCAACTGACTGTATGTATTCCCAGAGAGTGACAAGGTGTTGAGTTGACCTCCAGCGAGGATGAAAAAAACTTTGTAATCCTAATCTGATGTGACACTAATGGCACAGTGTTCCAGACGAGAATGCAGAAGCCAAGGAGTCACCTGATCACCCCGCCGCCAAGAGCTGCGCAGGGAGACTATCCCTCTTCACTTTTCTGGGCCATCTTTTGATACATGACAAGCCAATGCTAGAAAAAAATAATGTAACTCATCTGAAACGACTGGATGTATTGTTATGCAGACAATTTTTATTTTTCACATCATAGACAAGTCAGAAAGGTATTACAGAAACTTTTACAACATGGATTGTATTGTAAATTGGAAAAATGTAGCTTTGACCAGTCTCAGGTAACTTTCTTAGGTTACGTAATTTCCAAAGACGGGTTTATGATGGACCCGACCAAACTAAAATCGATTTTAGATTGGCCTTTACCTAAGGGACTCAAAGCCATACAAAGATTTCTTGGATTTTCTAATTATTACAGACGTTTTATTAAAGGGTACTCCTCTGTTATCGCTCCTATCACTAATATGACCAAACAAGGAGCCGATACCAAAACCTGGTCTACTGAGGCTTTATCTGCTTTCAAAACGCTCAAACAGTCTTTTGCCTCAGCACCTGTATTAGTTCATCCTGATACCTCTCTACCCTTTTTACTTGAAGTTGATGCGTCTGAAACAGGGATAGGCGCAGTGTTATCCCAAAGACAAAGTTTAGATAAGCCGCTGCACCCTTGCGGTTTTTTTTCCAAGAAACTGTCACACACTGAAAGGAGATATGACATTGGTGATAGAGAACTTTTAGCTATCATTATGGCATTAAAGGAATGGAGACATTTGTTAGAGGGCACCGTCCTCCCAGTTACTATCTTGACTGACCACAAAAATTTATCGTATATGGGGGAGGCCAAAAGATTATCTGCCAGGCAGGCACGTTGGTCTATGTTCCTTACACACTTTAATTATGTGCTTACTTACAGGCCTGGTTCTAAGAACACTAAGGCAGACGCTTTGTCACGTCAGCACGAACCTACCACCTCTACAGAGGATACTTTGTTCCCTATTATTCCTGAAGTCAATATTATCGCCAACACCAATGTCAAAATACACTCTCCATTGCTCGCTGATATTCAGAACGAACAATCTCTTGCTCCCGAACGTACTCCTGTGGGCCGCTTGTTCGTGTCTCCCAAATTCCAAGTGGACATTATTCGCTGTTTCCACGATAGCAAGATCGCTGGTCACCCCGGCATCCACAAAACTTACTGCCTGATCTCAAAAGACTTCTGGTGGCCCGGTTTACGTAGGGATGTGGAAGACTTTGTCAAGGCTTGCAATGTTTGTGTCAGGAATAAACTTCCGCGGGATCTCCCTTGTGGTTTATTGCAGCCCTTAGTCGTTCCCAACAAACCTTGGGCTTGCTTGGCTATGGATTTTATTGTTGATCTACCAGCTTCCAATAGGCATACAGTTATACTCACGGTCCTTGACAGGTTTACTAAAATGGCTCATTTCATTCCCTTGCCTAAACTTCCGTCCTCCCCCGAACTGGCTGTGATATTTGCTAGAGAAATTTTCCGTTTACATGGTATTCCCAATGAGATTGTGTCAGACAGGGGTTCCCAATTTATTTCCCGTTTTTGGAGATCCTTCTGTTCACAGTTGGGCATCAAACTGAATTTTTCTTCGGCCTATCATCCTCAATCTAACGGAGCAGCCGAACGCACTAACCAAAAAATTGAGCAATATCTACGTTGTTTTGTTTCTGAACACCAGGATGACTGGGTCGGTCTGATTCCTTGGGCGGAGTTTGCTCACAACAACCTTGTTTGTGGTTCCACTCATAATAGCCCCTTTTTCTTGAACTATGGCTTTAACCCTACTGTTCTTCCGTCGGTGTCTCCTTCCCAGGGTATACCGTCGGTTGATATTCATATAGCCAACCTGAGAAAGTTGTGGGATCAGACTCGACAAATTCTTGAACGTAGTTCCGCGGTGTTTAAGTCACATGCTGATAGGCGTAGACGTCCTGCTCCTATTTTTTCTCCGGGGGATAGGGTCTGGTTGTGTACCAGACACATTCGCCTGAAAGTTCCTTCCTTGAAGTTTGCTCCTCCTTACATTGGTCCTTACAGGGTACTGAGGAGGATCAACCCGGTTTCTTATTTGCTGGATCTACCTCCTACTCTACGCATCCCTAACTCTTTTCATGTGTCGTTATTGAAACCTCTTGTTTGTAACAGATTTTCCTCCCGCTCTACTCCTCCATCCTCGGTCCGTGTGGATGGTCAGGAGGAATATATCATCAAGTCCATCCTTGATTCTCGTATTTCTAGGGGGAAGCTGCAATACCTCATAGACTGGAAAGGTTATGGTCCAGAAGAGAGGTCTTGGGTTCCTGGTATAGACGTGCATGCTCCTCGTCTTCTACGGGCCTTCCACGTTCGTTTTCCTTCTAAGCCAGGTCCCATCCGCCCGGTGGGCGTTTCTAGAAGGGGGGGTACTGTCAGGGTACCTGTTGGTGATGTATCCAGGGAGGACATCCTCTCTGCTTAGGGGCTCCCTTCCCCTAGCATTTCGGCATATTCCGGCCGTTTTCGCGCCGGCCGCGCTAGCTCCTCCCCCTTTTATGACGCGACGGCTAGCGTCGACGTCATGACGTCGGCATTTGCATAAAGTGCCGGGAACCGCTATTCCGGACCTTTTGGGGGCGTGGTCTCTATTTAGGTACAGGGTATTTAAAGGAAACCTTTACTACTGCTCATTGCCCTGTCGTGGTTCTAGCTTGCTAGTCACTCAGCGCGTTCTTTATCTTGTGTTTCTGGTTTTGACCCTTGCTTGTCTTTTGTCCTGTTGTCCTCTCCTCTCCTTTGACTCGGCTTGTATCTCGCTTACCTGTCCTCCGGCTCCCTTGACCTCGGCTTACCTTTTGACTATTCTTGCTTTGTCCTTACGTTAGTCCGGCCATTCTAAGGTCCGGTATACGTACCTCCTTCTGTGCGCACTCTGCGTATTGGATCCCTGTCAGTTTCCTGACAAGGTATAAGGTTGCTGATACCTTGGGATTACCTTGAGATAAATTCAGCCAACATATCTGTTTGTTGTGTGCGTGGAGTTATATGTTGACCTCTTCTCTTTTGATTATTCTAATTTAGAATGTTTCATGATAAAGTTGGGAAAATGAAATGCGTAGACAGTGACCGTTAAGTCTGATGTTTGTAGCATGGTCACATTTTTTCTACCAATTTTTGCCATTACAATCTAGAGTATGACAAAATAGCCAGCCTCCAATGAGAGTCCCAACTTCAAAGTCTTTTCAAATATATTCAGTGCAGTTTTGCCCATGGATTCCTATTAGGTCATGTCTCGTCATGTAAACCAATTCTTATGTTTTTCCCATTATTAGCTGAAATGCAAACATAAGACGTCTCACATCATTAATTGTGTTTTACTTGCACTACAAAGATGCAAGCATGAGTAAAATTTTTGTAGATGAAATAAAATGTAACTGACATTTTTTTGTTCTTCCCATTCTGACATCTTTCACTTAAGTGCAAAGACACATGTTAAAATAGACTCAAAATAGAAGAAACAGCCCTTCCAGACTAGATCGTAACAAGAAAATGCGTTTTTAACACTTGGGGGGGGAAAGTACAAAAAAACTCATCGTAAGCTGTGGCTTCATCTTGAGATGGACAAGACGGGCAGAGTTTGAGGAATTATAATTAGAACTTTATTTGGAACCATTGTCTTCAATAACCAGCATATCCTCAAACATGGATACTCTTCCAGGTTATATCACTGGGTTGAAGCTAAGAGCAGGCAATTGAAAATCATAGATAATTAATCTGGTTAGGGCAGAAAGAAAAGGGACACACATATACATTATTATTATTATTATTATTATTATTATGATATTTATAGAGCGCCATCAAATTCCTCAGAGCTTTACAATGGGTGGACGAACAGACATGTAGTTGTAACCAGACAAGTTGGACACACAGGAACAGAAGGGTTGAGGGCCCTGCTCAATGAGCTTACATGCTAGAGGGAGTGGGGTAAAATGACACACAAGGTAAGGATAGTATTAGACTAGTGACAGTTGCAGAAGAGGAATCAGTCAGGAGCTATTAACAGTTTAATTGATACGCTTTTATAAAGAAGTGGGTTTTTAACGATTTTTTGAAGGAGTGGAGACTGGGTGAGCATCTAACGGAGGAGGGAAACGAGTTTCACAGGAACGGTGCAGCCCTCGAGAAATCTTGAAGATAGACGGAATTCTTCGGCAGATCGTAAGGGCCTAGACGGGACATACTTGTGTATAAGGGAGGATAGATAGGTGGGAGCAGCATTATGTAGAGATTTGAAAGCAAGAACCAGAATTTTAAATTGAGCTCTATATTTTATAGGAAGCCAATGTAGGGACTGACAGAAGGGTGAGGCATGGGAGGTGCGGGCGGACAGGAAGATGAGCCTTGCCGCCGCATTCATTATGGACTGTAACGGCGCAAGTTGGGAGCACGTAAGACCACTGAGAAGCGGATTACAGTAGTCAAGGCGAGAAAGGACAGTGGAATGGACCAACACCTTAGTCGCATCTGGCGTTAAGTAGGGGCGGATGTGCGCAATGTTTTTGAGATTGAAATGACAGGATTTGGCGATAGATTGAACATGAGGCTTGAAGGAGAGGTCGGAGTCAAAGAGAACACCTAGGCAGCGAGCCTGCGTGATGGAGCTCATGGTAGCACCATTGACTTGGAGGGGAACAGACACAGGAGTAACAACACTTGAGGGAGGAAAGACCAGAATTTCAGTTTTGGTCAAGTTTAGTTTAAGGAAGTGGGCAGCCATCCAGTTAGAAACAGCAGAGAGGCAGTCAGAGACACTAGTCAAGAGGGACGGGAGAGATCAGGAGAGGACAGGTAGATTTGCGTGTCATCTGCATAGAAATGATATTGGAAGCCAAAGGAGCTAATGAGTTTACCAAGGGAGGCAGTATAGATGGAGAACAGTAGGGGACCAAGGACTGAACCTTGGGGGACACCAACAGAGAGGAGTTGGGGAGAAGATGCAGAGCTAGAGAAAGAAACACTGAAAGAGCACTGGGAGAGGTAGGAGGAGCACCAGGAGAGAGCAATATCTTGTAGACCGATATTGCGGAGGATGAGAAGAAGCTGTTGATGATCAACAGTGTCAAAAGTCGCAGACAGGTCAAGGAGAATAAGATAGAGTAGTGACCACGAGATTTTGCAGCGAGTAGATCATTGGATACTTTGTTCAGTGCCGTTTCCACAGAGTGCTTAGTGCGGAAACAAGACTGAAGCGGGTCTAGCAGAGAGTTGGACTCGAGGAAGTCTGTAAATCCCGCATACACAATTTTTTCAAGGATCTTGGATACAAAAGGCAGTAGCGAGATAGGACGATTGTTGGATGGGGAGTTAGGGTCAAGATTGGGCTTCTTTAGAATTGGGGTTACAGTTGCATGTTTGAAGGGCAATGGAAATATACCAGAGAGAGAGAGATTGAGAATTTTAGTGAGAGGTGGAGAAAGAGAAGAAGACAGAGTACGGATGAGATGCGAGGGAATTGGATCTAGGGAGCAGGTGGTGGGGCGAGAGGACTGGAGCAGAGCAGAAATCTCTTCCAATGTAGCGGGTGCGAATGAACATAGAACAGCATTGTAAGGGGAAGAAGAAAGATGAGAGATCTCTTCTCTGATTGTAGAGATCTTGTCAGTGAAGTGAGTTGCAAAGTCTGAGGCGGTCAAGTTAGTAGGTGGAGGAGGAACAGCAGGGCGAAGAAGTCAGACTCATAAACAGACAAAGTCAGTAAGGATAATTGGCAACAATAACTTCAAAGCATAGTTGTGGCATGTAATCAGGTGTTTTCAATATCTAATTTCCAAGTAGGGGGCAATAGCCCCCTTGCCCACCATTTTAACCCTGCAGCTGAAACTTTGCCGTTCAGAAAGGGCAATGTTTTCATTGCAGGGTTAACCTGCCTCTATTGGCTGTTTTACTAGCTGTCATACAGAGTAAATCTCCACTATCTCTATCAGGTGGTCTAACTGAAACCATCTGATTGGTTAAGCACAGTGTTTTGCTGTGCATGCGCACTAGCCTCTCATTGCTTTCCTATGTGAAAGCATTGGAATGTCTGAGATC